GCGGCTTATATTATAGATTTGAAAACAGATGGTATAGTAAGCAGAGACTTGCACTTCAGCCTCCTTCTAGCAGTTCTGGGTAGGGGAGGGTTAGGGTGGTTACGAGTAGAGTAAGCTCAACCACAAACATAATCGTAACCCATAAAATTTCAGATGCTAAGGAGTCTACCACCAAGCTCTAGAAATGTGTAGTCGAGCTGTAACTACGAGCCTAACAGAGCGAGCCACGAATGCTTACAGAGACAGATCGCAGTTTCTTCAGCACGCGGTCCATGCGCACCACGGTCGAGCCTGGCTTCGGCGACGCTTCCTCCCTCATCATTTTCGCAGCATCCGGAGCCTCTTTGGCGGGAGTACTGGGTCGCGGTGTGCCATTAACTCGATGGAACATCATGCCCACCTGTGCGACTGTGCAGAATGTAGAGACGGGGAATATAATATCATTAATGAACGAACATTGATGATGAGGCGCTCGAGACGAAAACTCTTCTGAAGTCACGAAAATATTAGTACTGGTAGCTTTCACGTAAAATAACCTTCATAAAGTAGAAACATGGTAAAATCCTATGTTGAGCGTTTTTGATAAAAAAAACATTTTCGTCGTCGAACAATAACTACAACATTTGCGTGATACTATTATGACCTATGCCATTGTCTACACCGCCCGCTGCCACCGACTTCATACATGGTCGCAGTGTCATTCTTCATACAAGGCTCACCTTTGTGGTCATACTTGTAGACAAGAATAGGGTGGCCCTGTTTGAAGGAGCAGAAGGCAACAATGTGATCATGCGGATGATAACGCACGTCAGCTACAGTGTGCTTGTACGGCAGCTCGGAATACACTGCCACATGGTCACCTATAACATACAAAGTGCCAAAGCAGGTTAATTTAGGTCAATTATAGATTAGGTCCTTACATTCATGGCACAGGTAAGTGGTATATTCATTGATATAGGGATACTACTGTGACTGGGTGACTGACTCCACCTGTGGCCTGATGTCTACCCTGCCTCATCACACTGCATGTGTTACAGTTGCTTCCATCTTCAATTCCGTCATCTAGACAGTCTCATAACAAATTTCTCTACTTGAGATCTCGGGCAAGATTTATCAACATGGCATAGACTTTCACATGTGGGCTATAATGTGCCACAGTGAACCAGATAGGCAAGCAGCCCAAGCAGCTTAAGGATACTCTCAACCTTTTGCACGGGTATTGCTCTAATGAAGATTAAACGTTTATTGACGAATGAATCGAATCAATCACTTGTTTTATTTATAGAGGAGATATATCTCTATGTTCAAAGCAAAAAATTTCATGAAATTTCCAGCACCTAATTATGTTACCACACAAATTTTGAATTTTTATGTAAAAATGGTATTTTGGATATTTCTCAATTACCAGAACGAGTGAGGATACAAAATTTTCGCCACATGTTAAGCACAATATCTACCAAAATAGCGCATCAGGATTTTTCTTTAAGTTTCATATTTACAGAGAAAAATTTAAAAAACTGCCTAAAATTCAAGTCGCACGTTTAAATTTAAAATGTTTGCGAATAAAGAGACATAACTCATAAAATACGGCACTTAATAACAATCCCTGACGCGCTTTTTTACAGCAATTTGTTACCATTAAAACGAGTGTAAAATTAAATTATTCCGAGTTGTAATCACAGAGAAATATCCATTTATACATCGACTACTAAGTCAGAAATTGGAACGGAGAAATCAGCGTTTTTCTGACTACAGCCGCGGCTCACTACACATGTACGCGGAAAGCAAAACGCTCTGACAGTTCACATGTACCGTTATATGGAGAAATGAACATGTACACAGATGACACATAGTGTTAGCCATCGAATAAAGTTAAAAATAAAAAATCGGTAAAAATTTTCCTAAAACCTTGAGAGTATCCTTAACACATGCGTAGGCAATGTGTAGGCGTTGATAAATTTTGAATAAACACATAAGCCAGTAGCAGCAGTGAAGAAATCTTCTGTAAGCAAAATTCCTAGTAACATGATAACAGCTATTTCTGACTTGAAGTTTGGCAGACAAAATATCAACCATAACCTGCGCTCCATGCCGAGCTTTCTGGCTACATCCAGGATGTTTAACTTAATAGCATCCTGTAAATGTCAATGTCAACTTGAAGGGGAAATTAAGCCTTTTCCAGGAAAAATAATCTAATCTTAGCTGCTGTTTCTTTCATCAACCTCATTAATGAAATCATCACTGGCTGTATAACTATAATGTGGGCCATCTCATAACATCAGCACACCAGCTTAGCTTACTCATTGATATATGAGACCAAGGGATGGTATGTGTTTGTGCACCCATACTAGAAACTCTTCTTCTGAGCATAAATATCAATAATTTTGTGTACTGCGTGCATGTGTGCACGTGTATGTAACACACCTCAACTAAGCTTCAGGCCTTACAAATATGTGATTTAAAAGGACAGGTACCACTGATGTTTAAGTTTGGGCATTCATATTAGTGCACACAAATATAATGTTCAAATTCAGACAAATACATTTGTTTTTCTGAAAGCATTTGCCTAAATTCACATATTAGCACCATAATTTAGAGACTGCACAAAATTTAGGTTCGCAAATTTACGCACGCAAATTTGTGCATGCGGATACACACACGTAAATTCGCACGTGAAAATTCACACTCAAATTCACAAACGCGAATTTACACGCACTGCCTATTTAAGGTGTGCAATCGCGCGCCCCGCATGCCAGTAACTTTTGGCACGCGGCACGCGTGGGAACCTACCCGTGTCAGTGTTCCATACATAGGCCATGCCGTCCTCGCTGCCGCTCATCACAAACGTGCCGCATGGAGTGATGCAACTCCTCAGCCTCTCGCGGAAGTTCAGCGAGCCGTGATACTTCTGCGTGATCGAGAATCTGCGAGCGAGAGATGACGACGATGACGAAATTTACGTAAAACTGTAAATTTCCTTTCGAGTTCTCGATAGCAAACACCGTTAAGGCGATTTTAAAAAATAACACCGATTGCCTCAACACCAAACACCCGTACCTATTCATCCAAACTACGCAATATCATTATTCTTCTAGATACCAATCTAGCCTGACCACATGAGCATACATAGACAACATGCATACACATCCCATGAACACATACAAAGGTATAACGTGTATGTAAACAAATAAGTTTATGCTAATACAGCTTAGCACCGATTAATTATACTAATATCTTTCTAACTAACCAACGATTTCTGGGCGTTTCCTGCCCCACGAATTGTCTATTCTTTCTGTTTTCTATTCTCTATCTACACATCGAGCTCCATGCTGTGCACATGGAGAGGACGTCTGCTACTCACATGCGCAGGTCGAGCATGCGCAGGGCATTGTCCCTGCAGTGCAGCAGCAGTCTGTGTCCTGAGGGGTGCATCTCCAGATGACTCACCGACACGCCCTGCAGCTCTGCCTCCCGCACCTCCTTCAGCAAGGTCCACTCCCTCAGCACGCCTGTATCGTGGAAGACACGAGGCATGGTCAACGCTTACGGAGAGGGAAAGGTTGCGTTGACTGCCCCAAATTTTATAGCACGCGGGCCGCAGTATGTTCTGGCTTGAAATAAGCCAAGTCGGCTAATGCGCATCCAACCGCAGATTTTACGTTTATACCCCATAATCACTCCTGTTTATAATCGTCTAGGGTGGTAAGTTTCATTACCGTAAGCATTTATCTGAGGATAACTGATGTGCCTAACAGAATGTATCGTGCATTACACACGCATGCACATCGCATCTCTCTATGACCATGATGACTGAATGCCACGATGACGCGTGACAATCTTTTTACCCAGCTCACCTTTCTTTGACTTTCGCTCGGTGACGTAGACGTCCCAGACGCAGACGACTCCATTGCTGTCGGCCGAGTACAGCTTGTCGCCATCTCTGTTGAAGCAGAGCGCATTCACGTGTGTCCTATGACCTTCCAGTTCCTGCTCAAGCTGAGAATCAACAAGCGTATATGAGCATTGCTTAACCTCTCATGTAGGTAACGCGATGAGAGCCAGTAAACAAAGCAGATGAACATGGCAGACGTGCAGTAACTGCCTATAAATCAAATAACTTATCATCTGCATGAGTTATGAATTTCAATAACTACATGCTACAGAACATGATGCGAAAATCATCTGTCACCAGGCTAGATTGCCTTAGCTAATGGCCAAAGCTAGGCTTGAGATGTGAATCTCATAATAGCTATAAAGGAACTATTGTTTGACGTTCCAGAGAAAAATTGATTAATTCCTCTTAGCAAACTTCCAGACAGAGAAGCGATCCTTTAGCTCCAATGCTCAAGAAGTCCACATGCGAATTTTTAAGCATGAACCAAATTGCTTGGAAAACCTTTTCCCACCAAGGTGTGTGTGTGTGTGTGTGTGTGTGTGTGTGTGTGTGTGTGTGTGTGTGTGTGTGTGTGTGTGCGTGTGTGCGTATGTGTGTGTGTTTATTTATTTCTGTGCCTATATATAGGTACTTGATGAATGCCATGTGCGCTTACAGAAAATGGGGGAATTCCGTTCCATTGAAAAATCAAATGAGTCTCTTAAGCCATACTGCAAGCGAACCAAATGTACTGCTCGGACTAGCAAACGGCAGTAATGGAATATGTGCGGTGTCGATCTGTTAAGCTTCGATTACTTTCCGTTCCGAAGCCGCACATGGCGGCTTGTTGACATGTAGCAACATTAGATCTTCGGCTTTTCTACGCTCTCAACCCATCCTGTATCACATACGTAGATAGGTATATATATATATATATATATATATATATATATATATAGATAGATAGATAGATAGATATATAGATACTT